AACACTTTCATTAAGTTAACTACTTTCATAATTTTTATTTTTAATCATTCTATTTTTGTAGTTAATTGTGTGGGTGTGGGTTGGTGTGAGTGTCGGTTATCCATAAAATGTACGAAAGTTGAAATGCTTCTAATAAATTTTATGATTTGAAACCAATCACTATGTCGTCTTCGATAGTTTCATTTCAATATATTTCACATAGTTCTTTCTGACATTCATCACTTGGATGACAATCAAAACAAGTGTACTATTTGATTTTCGTCATTATTCAACGAGTTTTGCTTTCAGTCAAACAGAACTTAGCATTACACAGTTATTGATATAATTTTAAATAAATAATATTTGTTTTCAAAGTCGTAGCTTTTGATCATATCATTTCTGTTGTTGCTTGCTTCAGACACGTGTACATTGTTATCTACACAAGCAGAAGAAAAAAGAGTATACTTATTTAACGCAGTTTTTTTTGCTATAGTGAAGAATGAAGACGGCCATAGTGACTGGTGGAACCCGTGGAATTGGACTTGGGATTGCAAAATGCATGGCTCGAGATGGATACGATCTCGTATTAGGTTATCACACAAACCATGAAGCAGCGACGATTGCTCAAGCAGCGATTGAAAATGAATTTCGTGTCAAAGTGATATGCTGCGGTGGAGACATTTCCATTCCCGAAACGATGGAACAGCTCTTCACCATCGTACGTACCCATTTTAACAATGAGCTTACGGCGTTCGTGCATAATGCTGGACTTCGCGTTGGCATTACAACTGAATTAACCGATGCTCAGCCGAAAGCAGATGACGACTTTGAAGCAAGGTTTGACTACTATCAAAAAGTCTATCCACGTGCTTTCAAACGAGGCTTGCAATTAGCATTAAAATGTACAGGTCTACGTCATGTCATTGCGATTTCGAGTCCTGGTTGCAATTCTAATCAATCGCCCCGCATATTCTATGAAAATCCAGGTCAGGCAAAAGCTAGTATGGAATTCCTAGTACGGTTAAACGCCTGCGTATTAGCTAAGAAAGGAATAAACGTCAACTGTGTTATACCAGGTTATGTCAGGACAGAAGCATGGAATAAGATGTTTGAAAAAAACAAGTTCTCACCTGAAGACGCTGAAGATAGAGTGAAAAGTTCACCTGCTGGGCGTTGGGCTGATCCATTCGAAATCGGTGAAGTAGTAGCCTTTTTATGTTCTCCACGTGCAGCGTTCATCACCGGCGTAGCATTACCTGTTGATGGCGGGTTGCATCTTGTCGGGTGAAATTCACTACTAGAGTAGGACTGCATTCATGTATACCAGAGTTTTTCTCGTGTATCGTAATAAGAATATTATTAAACTTACGTCAAAAACTAATATAATAAAACTTTCACCCATTTTTTCATGCAAACACGCCAGCGTATCCTCTCGCAAAACGGTAGACGTGGCTGAATTACATGTGTGCAGATGAAAACGTGCAAATTTTTGAATGAATAATTCTAACCAACTTACTACTTATACTAAAGATCTTTCATATTTAATGGACTATATATTCAGAGTGTGGTTGGAGGCGAAGAAGAAATCGACACCCATCCACAAAGTCTAACTAAACAATTTTCTTTGCAAATGAAAAGAAAATCGCTTAATAAGAAGAGCAACAGAATATTTCGATTCATGCGTACTAGGTCAATAGCTGATCATGTTGGAGACACACTTGATTTATAATTGTCCGCAGCTTCCATTAGATGATCAACCAATAGTAAATGATATTGACAGTACAAATTATCTATTTTTTTTCTAAAATCACCGATACGAAATACCAACTATGAGTTATTGTTTCTTCTCTATTGACAGGCAACTAAATGAAATTCAATTATAAGACTTATTGAAAGTATTATTTTACTGTCTTTTTTTTATCTATAACCATTCGAATTTAAATTCATCATATGTTACGCTGAAATTATTATTGCATTTATTATTTTGTTATTTAGGATCATTCAAATCAAAAACACTTTTATGTCCCATACAAAATATTGTTGTATTTGGCTTTTTTATTTAGGATATATTAAAAGAAGACGAATTGTAACTTTTGTTAAATATATTTAGATATTTGATTCCATATTTAGGTTGAAACAGCTTAGTATGAAGATGAAAAACAGTGTTCTCAGACGCTACCAAGATTGTTTCGGTTGTTTCCATATCTTATCTTGCTAGTCAGGTTTTTTACGAGATACCTTGAGGTCTGAGTGTTTTGTGTCTTTCGGAAACCTTATATGGATTCTTCCGAGGAAGGATTGATTGAATCGTGTTAGGTGGTATTGAATAGGGTTTACGAGCCTACGGATACCTGTTTTTTCAGAGTGTAGACTTTGAAAATTGCTCATAATGTATTGACCCATTGTGTTCAATTTAGACAGTGGGACACGCTGCTTCCAAATGGCTTGAATTTCGGTCGGTTCGAGCCATCGGTCGAATATTGCAACATCGGCAATGCGTCCATGCCAGAAATTTTCGTTTGAGGTCTTGACACCAATATGCAACGTGCGAGGCATTTGCATTTGTTGATCTTCCCATCGTTCATCATAACGATAGTATTGAGGATAATCAATGACACCATCAATTCTTCGAGTCATATCGACATTACACTGAAGTTGACCATCAACAAATAATTGTTGCTTGTTACGAGAAACTTGAGCCACAACATGATACCAAGTGTTTTTCATCATATGATGCGGAGCACCACAAAAGAAATGTACGGAACCTGTTGATATCATTACTTGATTTTCTAGCACAGCACGAAGATTGACACCCAAATGAAGCCAAGCATTAAATGGATGTTGCCAAGAGCCAATAGCTGTTCGCCAACTGATACCTCCCGGATACGTGTCCATGAGCCATAGGAATACGCAAAATGTATCAGTTTGATATTGTCGTATATCATGAACGGGAATATTAATCGACGATTGACCATCAAGAACAAGACATGGACCAAGAAAGCATGTTTCTTGTTGCGGTTGACCAGTTAGAGAGAGCCGATCATCGCTGATGATACCGGTTGAATCGTGTCCTAATTTCGAGGCATTTTCAAATTCCCAATGACCGATCCCATGGACACGGCAAAAACGAGCAAAGCGTTGTTGAAAGAACCATTCATCAATGATAATTGCTCGCCAACGACGACAAGTGCGCGAGATAGTTAATAGCTCGGACAGAGTTCCGTCGATCAAGAAAAAAATTCCAACAATAATTTCGTTAGGAAGATCATCTATTGAGTAAGCCATAAAATTTCGACGATATATATGGATCTGAAAAGGAGACAAAATGTAATAGTGGCAAAGATTTTCTTTTTCTGTTCTCTTCAAACACATTTTATTATAAGCAAAGAGAAGTGAAAGTGAGCACAATTTCCTACCGATGAGTAATAAGCAAATAGATAATGATACGAGGTAATCGAGTCTAAATCATGGACACAATCTGTCATTATGTGAAAAAAACCTAGGGTAAGACAAGGATGCAACGAATAAAAGTTGTATTGTGAAATTTTCAAGGTTTTCAACGATGAATAAATGCCTGATTTCTTGAAATTACATCAACTCTCTTTTATCAATTCTCAAATCTTATTCTCATTCCATTTCCATTGTTAAAAAAAAGTAGAATCATAAACTCTTTAAGCGTTTATGAAAGGGTATTTGATTGTCATAAATTCTTTCATATACATAGAGGAAGCGTATATCAAAAAGATACATGAAGCGGCTTACTGTACATTTAATCTCACCATTAAATTATTGAATTAAGATAAATGTAACACAAAACAAAAGACGTTGATTACAAAATGATATTATTATCTTGAGATTATCATGCTTCAGCAAGATATTGATATGTTCAACTCAAGGTTTAAAATAATATTTTAAATCTCCAAAATTATTGTATTTGTTGAGTTCAACGTACCATTAAATTGCTTAATCAAGATAAATATGAAGCAAAAACAAGTTCAATATGAACTTATTCTGTTTGCTTTAGATTTATCTCAATTCAATAATTTAATGGTCAGTTTAATTCAACATATAAGATAACATTTTATGCTTAGAAATATTCTTTTGTCTTGAATAGAATTCACTATCACATTGTGCGATTAAAGGGAAATTGAAAAAGACTTATTGTACAGAGTGTTCCAGAAATAACCTACCACCAAGAAAATTGTTTGTCTTCACCGCATTTCAGCCAGTTGAACTTATTTTTTTTTCTAATGGTAAAGGAAAATTCAGATTTTTTTTTATTATGAAAAAACCATATACAATATTTTTTTTCGTTAATTAATTCAACTTTTTGAGTACTTTCCAATATTAAATCAACCAGATATTCAACTCTAGCTGTATAAACATGTGTTCGGATGCTTCTTTTTTTAATAAGAAGACGTGTAATACTATAAAGCTTGATGACGGCGAAGACTATCAACTCGTTCATCTCTTACAGTGCATCAGTTATCAATGTTTTCATTTTATTGGGGACAAATTGCTCTGTAAAAACATTTTGTTAGCTGTTGTTTTGAAAAATATTGAAAAGAAGGTTTATAAGGGAAATACACCATATCGGAAAAAACTTCAATTTGATATTGAAGTCAATAGTCATGGTTTTTAGCACCATTCATCAACTTTATCTTTGCGAATAAAAACTCTGAACTATCCTATCATCAGAAGAAAAATCAGTTCAATAGGCTGAAATACAATGGAGATGAACAATTTTCTTTTTGATAGATTACTTCTAGGACATCCTGTATAAAATTGAACAATTTCTCTATGATTAGCATCAAGTACTACATTGTGTTTCATATTTTAATCCTGCAGAAATTACAGTAACAGCTTTTTTGTCGGTATTTGACTTTTAACGATACATAGGAAAAACGTACTCGTATTTCTAGTTGTAGTACTTGTTGAAATTGTACGATTCAAATGTTTGTTGAGTTTCGTAGTAGTTTGTTAAAAGTAAGTTTGTCCGAATTTTTTTTTGCAATGATAGATACAAGTTAAGAACGTTTGTTGTTTGTTGCTGGATTGAGTATTTTGTTTTGTATTTTATGCATGTAGCTCCTATATTTATTAATATGACACACGCTCGGTTATTTTTCTTGTTGTTCTTTTTCCTTCAAAGATACGTGGGAAAGATACATAATTATTCACGATCGTCATTACTTGTTACTGATGGATGATGTGTGTGTGAATATTAATGTGTTTTTTTTTGGTTTTTTTCGCTAGCATTCACACATGCCAATGAAAATACCTTTGTAACATTCCTATTTAGATATTAATGTATTATAAAAAAAAAACATCATATCGATGATATGATTAATTGACTTAAGCTAATAGGCCACTTTAAATTGTTTTATTGTTGAATAAAACATCTATCAAGTATGGTATTAGATTACACTATATCTTATATAAAAAACTTGCTAAATTAGAACATTTCGAAAGTAAAATCTCTACTTAATCATTAGAATTAGCCTAAATCATTGAATTACTCACAATGGTGGATATGATTTAGATAGTCAACTTTTTAGTGGAGTAGAAATTAAATGAAGAAATATCATTTTTCATCAATAAATATTGTCATAGGAATTGTATCCAATGGTGAACTCTTAAAATAAGAAATATATTAAGATAAATTCTTTTTTAATATAAATTACCCACAGATAATTAGAGGAACCCATAATTAATTTCATTTGATTAGCATCATTTGAGAACAGATTAGTTATCTCATCTGAACTAAATCGATTTAAAAAACGACTTAATAAACGAAGAATCTAAACAAATATTTCTTCAAGTTATACAATCAGACATAGATCCTAACTGTACAATAGATCAAACCATGATAAGTAATACGCATTTGAACAGCAAATATTTCAATTAAATAATACAAGTAATAAAACATTATTGTAAATACAAATTTAAAGAATAAGTGGCTTATTCTATGATGACAAAAACTATTACATAAAGTCTAAGAATAGACATAGTAAAAAATGACTTAAAGAAATCCATCAACTATATAACCAAAAATGGTTGATTGATAATTGCTAATTATTATATGCAAATATTAATTGAAAAATCAAAGTCGATTTAATATGCTTGCTAACACGAGGAATAAATAAAAGAGGGTGTAGGTGTGGGGTGAGGATGTTCTTTTAACCCTTTGAGGACGGGATTACTTTTCAAAAAGATCACGTCCTCGAAACTTCGAAATAATATCTCTGCTAGAAAGAAGGTGTATCAGGATACAATACATATGGTGGTGTAGCATCACATCGGTGGTGAAGAGTCCATAGTCTGCACTAAATGTAGATCACCGCTATATAATGAGAGACATATTCAAGTGCGTTACAAGTCGATAGAGAGCCGTTGCCTATATATAGGCTTCCCGTCCTCAAAGGGTTAATCCACATCCACACCCTCAAATATAATACAAAGAGAAAGAGTGAACATTTGTCAACGTACAGAAAACAATCGATTGAATTTATTGCTCCTCGATTCTGGAACGCCATACAATAATCAATGAAAGAAATGTGTCTTGAGCACCAAAAAAAAGGTGAGATGAGCACCAAATGAACAGAACAGTACAAAAGGTATCAATTAAGCTTTAAACGAATAAAGATTGCAGTTCATAGGTACTTTACTATTAAACTGTGATAAGCTCTATTCATATTTATTAATTCAATGACAATTCTTAAATAATCTAATTAATTGGAGTAATGATTTGTATATAAAAGATGTGTAAAAAAAAAGTATAAATTACCATAGCAAAAACATGTCAAGCAAACAATATCAAATTTTTAATTTTGTGTTCTTCGTGTTGTTTTGTGTAATGACATTATTTAATTTCTTATTTCATATATAAATAAATTTGGTGCTCATTTCACTCTTTTTTGGTGCTCAAAACACTCCCCACCCATAATCAATGACCAAACTACGTTTGATCGTTGATGTAAAATATATAACTTGATCATCATATAAATTTATTGTTTCTTGTAACACAATTACACTAATTGTTGCATGCAGTGTATGTCTTTATTTCCATCTTTTTTGCTTCATTATTTTCTTTCAACGAAACAACGATATGTTTCTCTCGTTAAGAATATACTATCATTCTTAAGAGTTGATTTGTTGTTATTTTCTCTTGACTCGTGTCTCGTTATTATTTAATAGGTACAACTGCGGAAAAAGAACATCCCAGCACCCACACTCTTTGATGTGTGCATGTGAGTTACACCGATTAGTGGAGAAAGTGTTCTTATTCTGCATTATTACCGCCAAGAAAAAAATAAGAAATGAAGATAAATATTGCTCAATGGACTGCGTATTCGATGAGATCCTTCCAAAGACGTAGTGATTCGGGATTCAAAATAGTTATTGGTGAATGTCTACAACAGACATCGAAAACGAACCAAATCGGATCGAATCAATTCGGGTTCGAGTCGAATCAAGTCGAACCGAACCGAACTCAAGCCAGTAAAATTCAATTCGTTTCGGTCTCTGGCGTTCACATATTCTATACACACACCATACACTGTCCGAGAGCGCCATCTGTTCAGATAATGGTACTTTACATATATTTACTCCATAAGCAATCAGAGTTTTTTGGTGCCTTCCGTTTTTCGGCCTAAAATTTGATCAATTATAATTAAGCTAGGAATTTTGGAGCAGGCTCCTAGACGAATATGAGCAAATTTTACTTGAACTTACTGCTTAACTCACCTACGTCGTATAAATACTGCTCTTTTCGTTCACTGTTGTCTACGCATTCTTTCCTTCGACCTGAGTCATACATCGATTACAGTGTAACGTTCTTACATACACGACAAAAAAGAGCATTAGTTGTAGGCCTCTCTCTCTCTCTAATTGCCTTCTTTTTCTTCGTCAAAGTAAAAGAGAGGTAACCTATGCATCTCCTCGTTTCATGCATGAGTGATCACTGCATCGAAAGTGGGATAAAAGCATGCGCTTCTTGCATTTTTATTTAGTTATTCGTTTTGATTTAGATTCACAACCAGTGCATCTAGCGATTCTTTCTCGATTACGATCGTTCTGGGACAATATCTTACGGTAGATACTTTGTTCACTTTAGTATTTGTATTCTACGCTTTTTACATGAGGACTAACTGTTATTCCTTGAAATTTTCTTTCACTATTCAGCTATACAGGGTGAGTCATAAATATCTTTATTATAAAAAAAACTTGAATATCTCTACTCTGTTTCAATCAATCGGGCTAATTTTTTTCTTGATGATAGACGACTCTTCAAAGTTTTTATTCATAAGAAAACCGTTAATAGATACTATTTTGAATTAGCACAATTGACTTTAATGAAGAAATATACTATTAGCGACAAGTATCTCATCCTGCGATCTCAGCCATTCTTAAGGTTAGAAGTCTGAAATTTTGAGCGCATAACTACCTTAGAAATGCAGATTAATGACACCAGCTCGGTCTTGATCGTTTATGCTGAAAAGGAGTTATGATATACGGAAATCTTTTGACTGTGAGCCCTGTAACTCGGAAAAGAAAGGATGTTATGAGTCGGCCGATCTAGCATTATGCAAAGTAATCACAGCTTTTAAGCGCCTAGATAAAACCTAATTTAATTTATAGTGTAGATGGCAGCACCGTAAGGCTACATAATTATAGGGTGGCCGAGTCATAAGTGTCTTCCATTCATGAGTTATAGGATTCCCAGTGAGAAGGATGATCATAGAACATAACTCCTTTTCAACTCAAGTGATCAAGACCGAACTGGTGTCATTAATCTACATTTCTAAGGTAGTTATGCGCTCAAAATTTCAGACTTCTAGCCCTAGGAGTGGCTGAGATCGCAGGATGAGATACTTGTCGCTAATAGTATATTTCTTCATTGAAGTCAATTGTGCTGGTTCAAAATAGTATCTATTAACGGTTTTCTTATGAATAGAAACTTTGAAAAGTCGTCTATCATCAAGTAAAAATTAGCCCGATTGATTGAAGCAGAGTAGAGATATTCAAGCTTTTTTTATAATAAAGATATTTATGACTCACCCTGTACAATGCCAATCTTCTGTCCTAACTTTTACAGGCATATGTGTTTCACGATTCTTCCGGTCGAGCCTTGTCTCAGAGCCGAAGTTCCTAAACCTACATGAGTTGTCTAATTTGAGTTCGAATATAAATGAAGATTCAATTACTTGCTATCAACTCGAAAATAAATGCTAAATATGAAACCGTAACTTTTATATACCATAGACATAGATGGTAGTAGATATACTTGTTATTGAATTCCAATTATATATACATATACACTGTCCTGTTAACATACGAATAGATTTAGTTTTAGTTTATACCATTTATTATTTACATACATATCCATACACTATCATTTAGTATACAACAAACATCACCTGAAATGCCATAAACATCATTTCGTATGCTGCAGACATTACATAGGAGGTTAGAGACATCATGAATATTCAGTGGGGATAAGCATTTTTTTACGCGTAAATGACTTTTCATATAAGCGTCGCGGCAAGGGAGCGTGAAACGTCTCCAGAAGAGCCGCAACGCATACTCCTCTCTGTGCATACAATAATCGCAACTAATGCCGCCATGCTAGGGAAAGTATTACAGAACGCGTACTGTCTGTAGCATTCCAGGTGCTATATTTAGTATTCCAAGTGATAATGTCTGTAAATATATATAAATTATAAATGGTATAAACGTATATCTACATACATATATATAGATGTATATGTATTTGTATATATATATAAAGATGTAACGGATGACCCAGAATAAATGGCATACTTAGTATTTTGATCGTAACGTTTTCAATTTTTATGCTATCAAGCTGTGGCTTTTTTTAAAACTATGCTTCATGACATTCTCTACCAAACCGTCTAGTTTGTTTTTCAATTTTCAGATAAGCTAAATTTTTAGAACCTGAAAAGTAAAGACTTACAAAAAGCTGTACTTTCTAATAGGCGCGTCAGGCTAAATAGCAGTCTCAGTATTTTGCCCATAACTCTTTCGATTTTCATATTGTCGAGCTAATTTTCTTTTACAAGATGTTCTGTGAAATTTTCTACAAAACCATGTATTTTACTTAATCTAAACAATCGCCATTGGTTTTTGACAAGCGATTAGTCAGATAAGTTACTTAGAGAGTACAACTATTTGTAAGTCTTTACTTTTCATGTTCTAAACATTCAGTTTATCCAAAAATTGAAAAACAAACTATACGGTTTTGTAGAGAATTTCATGGAGCATCATTTACAAAAAACCATAGCTTAATAGCATAAAAATTGAAAAAGTTACGATCAAAATACTAAGTATGCCATTTATTCTGGGTCACCAGTTATATACATATATATATGTGAATGTATACGTTGAATACATGCGAAAATGTGCTTGCAAAAAATGTTCTTGACGAAATGTCCTTGGAACGAAGTGTCCTTCATATAAAATGTCTTTGAGAAATGATTCTTAGTCAGGAACGTTCCTAGCGGAGTAGGGAGAGGGGCGTTTTGGTCACGTAACATTGGAATAACGATCTAATTCATAGATTACGTGGGAAAATTTGTGGTCTTGATCCCCATCTAGGAACGCTCCTGCCCTTAGTGTAATGGTCCTCCGAAAAAATGTCCCCTTTTTATGAAAATGTCCTTTCAGCAAAATATAAGCATCATTCATGTCAGTGATAATGTTACTTATGAAGTTCAGTTTATAAAAACGGATTAAATTGTGGGTATCGGTGTAGGTGTAGGCGTAAATGCGGTAACACCGATACCCACATTCCACACAAATACCCAGACCCACACACTCATAGTCACACCCTCACACCCACACCCTACGTAGTTTTTGAAGGCCGCTGCTAATTGTGCATATATGCAAAGGTTTATATTGCTCACACATTCGATTCGAGAGCCTTTTCTACAGAACCTTTTTTATGAATGGCTTCATTTTCTTCTTTTTTTTTTGAAAAACACATACTAGAAATCTCACCAGTGATCAAAAGGCGTTTACTGATGCAGTATTTTTAGAAAGTCAGTTTTGTCCAGCTAATTACAGCTCAAATACCATGGAATAATATATGAACGAACTGAAATCAAAATCTGAATACTGGAAAAAATCTATTTGTGCTGTAGTAGCTCAGCTAGACCGTTCCAATTTCTCAAAAACGTTGTGATCAAAGTCTTACACATTATTCTGAGAGATTATTTGCTGTTTAATGGAAATTCCAAGAACTGGATTTTAAGGTGCTTGTTCAGACCGTGAAGGAAATCAGAAAAAAACATATTAAAAAATGTGTGGGAAGTCGACGCATTCCATACAATCCTAATATGCGATCTACAAAAACATTCAGCTCTATTGTTTTAAAGTGAGATAGGTGGAGGTTTGTGAAGAATTCCACGGCGTATCTTCTAAAGAAAAACTCAAGAGTTTTTGTTTCTGTCTGTATTGAGATATACGAAAAATACGCCATGTTGGAAACATTTTGGGGACTACATAGAATGTAAGATGAGAGTGCGTCATGGATCTGTACACATTCAAAACACCCCACACCCACATTCCTACCTTGTTTGATCCTCAGTATTGGGGGAAGAGGCAATGAAGCGTGACAGTTACTATACAGCGAGACAGGGTATGAAAAATCAGAAAAAACGAACGAAAGTGAGATGATATTCATATACTAGCTGTTTACATTATAACACAGTAACAGTTGCTTTTTTTAATTCTTAGTGCTTCTGTCTGTGCAAAAAATGACCGACAACAAAGCCATAGACGATAGTAACATTCGTGAGCTAGGCGCCAAATGGGTGTTTCAAGAACTTTGGCATAGTTCAGCATTACCGAGTGATGCAATGCATTTGAAATACACCCAAGCCTTAATAAATCTTGCAGGAGCTGACGGTGTTCTTGCTGATGCAGAACGCCAATGGATCTTGGGCAATGCAGCCGCCAAAGGCGCTAGTGCAGACGTAATCAATCGCTTTACAACTTACCAGCCGACCAAAGCCGATATCGAAGCGATGATAGCAAGTAAACCGACATTTACGCAACATGCAGGTCGATCGCTCATTTTCGAAGCTATTCTGGCAGCCAGTGCTGACATGGACTTACATGCAGCCGAGCGAAATGCCATCTATCGATTGGGTCAAAGTATGGGCATGGATGAAGCGCTCTTGCAAGAAATCGAGCAGGCAGCTGTAAATGAAATATCCCATCGACGTCAAATCGTAGCTCTCATGTATCCTGAAGGTTTGCACAAATCTCTGAACGAGTCTGAAACCGATTTCAAGAGTGAACAAACATAAACAGATGATCAAACTTGCAAGTCGACAAACAGCAATAAACAGAAACAACTATATATGTAGCTACTAGTTTGCTAACTATTCACTCACGCTAACTACCTCACATTTTTTCTTCAAACTTAAAATATGCTTAAAAGGATAAAAGGCATGATATAGCTAACGCCTGTGATTTGACCAAGTGAGATTCTATCGCATCACCGTTCTTCTAGATTTCATCTATTTACTTTTTTTCATGAATAAAATTAACTATATAAATCTCATATTTTTCCGCTATGTTCTACATGAAATTGAGTGACGAGCTTGCTGTTACGTAGTTAATTACTTGTTGTGAAGAGGCAAGATCACACACAACTAGTGTAATAGCTTTTCTTTAGATACATTCGTGTTCGTGACCCTTCATACTGTTGAAGGCTGTTAAAGATTAAATTTCAAGTATCGATGTGTGCGTTATTTCTTCTGACTCTATGCTCTGAACCGATCGTAGAGAAATAGAACAGAAGTCAAATTTTGCGTGAAAGTACTCTGAGAGTACATGATGCGATATACATATTTTTGCATAACAAAAACTGAATTGCAAACTTCAAAAAGTAAGAAATGCGAAGTGGATAAGATACAACTAACTCGAAACTTGAGGAAGATTTATTTTTCATTTATTTACACATGGTTGGATGGTGTAGGTAGGTGTGTGAGTGTGGTTGTATGGTTCTTTTCAATCACACCCACACCCCACCCTTGCCTAGGTTTAATTTTGCCTGTGACATAGACATAACATCGTTGGATTTCATTAATAATGCATTTTTGGAAAAAGAATTACGGTTGACACTCCAATATTGTTCGTTAAAAACTGATCTACGATATAGTTTTTTTTTTTGAAGGTGTTTGATCACAAAGAAGTCTTCAGTACCTGTTGAGTGATCGATTCGGCCTTCGCAGTAGATGTAAGGACTTCTTTCGTGATCTTCAAAGCCTAATTTTCGATTTCCATAAGTGTATCGCTAGTTCAAACCTGTCCAACAAGAACGAGAGAAATGAGGAATTTTAAAAAAATTCAGTTATTTATTAGAATTGTATTCAGTACAGCAGAAATAGTAGAAGTATAAGATCGTGTCAACTTGGTGATATTTCCATAAAGTAGCTTGCAAACATTGTCGAGAATGAATCGAGTGATTATGACGTGATCGATAAAGATTGGTAGCGAGTTTTTACCATTCTTCTATCGATCATTCTTTTTGATTCGAACCAAATGCACAACCATGCGTCAAAGAACAGAAATGGATATATTCACAGTTACAAGTACATGTATCCTACTCAGAAAAAGTTGTATCCATTCTTACCAATCTATTATCATTTTGATGTGCCATTATCTCTAGATAATTTATTCGCTTCAATCCAACATAGTATTGATTCGTTGAATAAAGTGCATCAATTGAGACTCGTGACCATGGTTCCTTTAGACCAGAAATCAGGATGCCCATGAAAGTTTTTCTTTTATTATCATGTAACTTCATATAAAAGTAAAACATATATTTCTGTCACAAACAAACCATAGAACTACAAGAATTCGAAAAAATTAGAAGAATTAATTTATTTTAATATAATAGTTGATAAACGATGAATTTTTATTCGGTACAAAGACAGCATAGATTGCAACAAAAGAAAAGGGACGATATAAACTAGAATTCTATAAATTTTATATTATTATGGAAAGAGAATTATTTACATGTCAAAATCATAGACACATATAGGTAATTATACTTCATAGACTAAATACATATTTGTAAAGTAATGAACGGTAGACAAGAACGCTCAGATTTTCTTTTCATACATAAACATCTGTTTGTATCTCACACAACAACTAATAGAAGAAATTTAAAATTGATGCACAATATAAAGAAATCAATAATATCATGAATCCAATAAGCTCAGCTGTGCTTTCTAAATAACCCATAAGAGGATTTCAATATCGTTTTTGTACATATATTCATCATCATCTCAACTGAATAATCTGCAGCGGAGAGTAGCTACATGCATCAAAAGCAAGAAAAGTCTTTAAATACATCTTAGTGCCATCATTATGTCTTTAATGAAGAGCGTCTGATCACTTAAACTTTTTTGAAGTTATAAATGCAGTTAAATACTAAATTACTCAAACGATAAGAAACATGTTTTAAAAATATAATAAAAAACATTTCTGTTTTTTTTTTCAAACACATTTTATAACATGAATTGCACTCAAACTTCACCATGTGCCACGAAAATCATTTAGATGGCTTTTGAAATGTGTTGTATCGTTACATATGTTGATGCACATTGATAAAGAAAAAGAAAAAAAAAAAAAGAAAAGGTAAAGTCATAGTTCGAAAAACGATGGATGAAGGCGATATATTACTCACAAGACATCAATCGCTATAAAATATTCTGTCTGTTCTCTTTCTTGCCAAAAGTGAGTGACCATTTTCTACATGAAACCTGAAGTCATGCACGCCCAATTATACTGGATGTTGGTAGTATTGTTCTTTGCTAGTATTCTTCTAAGTGTAGCAAGTAAAGACGATGATGATGATATTTCAAAGAATGCGGTAAAATTATCTACAACAGCACTCATATTCGCCATTGGTGTGCCAATTATTGCTATCATACTTATAATTATCGCTACGACATGCTTTCTGTGCCGCAAACGAGAGCTGATTTCACGCAGAACATGGCAAGAGTCTCGTCCATCAGCACCGCCTGCGATTTCAGTTAATTATCAAGATAACAAAGAAAATCCACCCTCATACAATGAGGTAATGAGAATGAACGCTAGCAAGTTTCGTGTTTGATTTAAATGTTTTTTGTTTCTTGAACAATTAATCAATATTATTTTTTAACTTCACGATATGGCATTGAGTCAAAGACTGTATAATGATGACATAAATGTCGGAAGAACAGTCTATTGTCAATATTACTGTAGATTGAAGTTTTGCATTAGCATGTTTTTGTACGAACTTTGCATAGAGACCAATAGGGCACCAATGAAAATAAACTAAAAGTCTATTATTGTAAGGTGCTAAAACACTCACACTTGTTGACAGACTCTACTTCAGTTATGAATTTGATTCATGGTTTTGAACGAATGCGTCCCATAGAGATGATTTACATGTTAAAAAGTTCTAAATTGATTCAAAATCGAATGAGATACTAACTTTTATGGAGTAAGTTTCGGTAAACATGTGTTTAAACTTAAAAGATTTTGTTTATTATTCTTTCTATAATTTGAATCTAAGTATTTCTTGCCAGAATGAAAAGATTTTATCCGCTATCTCATAGGGAAAACGTTCTGGATTCATTCACTGCTTCACAATTTCATATAGATGTCACTAATGAAAAGTGCATGAATTCTCGTTTGATTGTTTGTTCTCATTCTCAAATATAGTATCATTTACTGTTTCTTGTGAATCTGAATTGACTTCCATTATTTATGGTCAATGAGATATGAGAATTGTAATTCATGATTATAGATTTTTTGGAATTCATTATAATATCGTCATCAAAAAATAATGAAATAATTGTAAATGTAATGAATAGTATTTGAACGATCTGAAATCTCGAAAGTCAAGCTACATAGCAGACATGTTGAATATAGCATTTAATTGAATCATATGTTCTGAATCAATATACAACGATAGTATCTCTATTGTGTTGATTGTTCAAGGCAACACTGTACAATATTATTCTGTTATTTGAGAGTATGATGTTCAACTAAGAGAAGAAATATTGTTTCTTATCATTTAAGGTTGAGATCGATTTGACAGATTGGAAAAAGTTTAATTCAGACTAGTACGATCTATGATGAGCATTATTCTAAGAAGATCCATTATGAAAAATAATTCTACTAAAACATTAATCCAATTATCACTAAGAAATGTATGACTTAATTGATCTTCTAGGAAAGTTGCTTCAAAAGAAGTTGAAAGACTAACATGGAATAGCAAACTACGAATCAGATATGTGCTTGTCTTAAGAAGCTACGTGAATGCATATCTCCGACTGCATAGATATGTGTGAGTGTGAAAATGATGCTCTTCGTTTAATTAAGTTACCACAGCCACAAATATCCTAAAGCATCGATGTCATAATCATACTTCAAGGTTTGTGAATTTTTTTTTAGTAGAATGAGAAAAGATAACATTTCAATAACGTAGAATTGCAAGTTTTATCATCGGCAAGAATACTCAATGAAACAATATTGAGAACATACTTAACTAAATGTATTCTTGCTTAATAAGAAGGTTGAATTAATATTTAACATTAGTGAATTCTTTTCTTATATCGTATCTACTAATATTAATAATTAATCAAATTACCAAAAATCGTAATGAAAGTAGAACAGAATAGAAAACAAAAAACAAGAATATAGTCTGGTTTATTTATTTTATTTTTATTTCTATCTAACTGCAGTATGCTGAGTCATTTACGTTGTGTAATTCATGCGTCATTTCGTGTTCGAATTCTTTTTTTTTCACTCTACATCTTCGTGCTTCCTTGCAATGTAGAAAGACATAATGAATGTTAATATTTCAATTAAGAACACGGAATGTGTTGACGAATCAAACTTTCGACTCATATTTATTTTCAAGTACATTACATTCATATCATTTCAATTCCACAATAGTTAATTGCAAAGAGCAAAATTTGAGACTAGTAGATTGATTTGTATGTTAAATACATAGATGTTTTCTTGTTTCTATTCATGTAGTAGCAAAAACCTCTGCATCAAATCATTAATTATCATTGATGTTGAATTTATTTCTTCTAATCAAAATATACATGTCACAAGAAATATTCAAAATAATCAAAAGCTTATTTTCTTATCAGATGAACTTATTTTGGAGATAAGTCTGATTAAAATTTAATTGTATATTATATAAAAGTAACTCATGTAATGAATATCATCTCAATTTGCTTTATTAATCATGATGTTGAAAAACAAAAAAACAACGATTAATTAGAATTCCATAGTT